CTCTCTCTCTCTCTCTCTCTCTCTCTCTCTCTCTCTCTCTCTCTCTCTCTCTCTCTCTCTCTCTCTCTCTCTCACACACACACACACAACATAATACCCATTAAGCAGTGACTCAGAACATCTCCATTTCTAGTCTATGAAAGCCCAACAACTCATAGTGGTTTGGATTCAAAGCACATAATCAAAGTGGTAGAAGGTGTAACTGGGTGTAAACTGGTCCGCTCCCAGTGACATTATTCTCTTTTATCATTAAGAAAACCACCTTTCCTTCCTCTTGTTATTGTTCTCAATTTTAGTTCCATTCCATTTTTGAAATATGCAGCAGACACAAAGACAGAAAGGGCTAAAGCTTTAACCCAAAACTAAGTTATAGGAAATCTGGTTTTCCATATTGTCTTTCAAACATGCATTCAAGAGGCAATATTGGTTATCAATATCAGCACAGATTGGATGTTGACGTTGTTTCGTCTTTGGTGTTCCCTGGCATCAGTGGGTTGACATTTGTAGCTTTTAGGAACATATCTTGAACACTGTTGAGTGGCATATCATAAAATCTAGTGAATAAATCAAGATTGGTGATTTCCTGAGCTTTTACCTCAACTGGACATTCACTGGGAACACCACGAAAGAAAAGGCTCATACTCTCTGTTTCCATATTCAGTCTAACAGCCTGACAGTTATCACAAATGCACCATTTCTTATTCACTTAAAGGTTTAATTGTACCTTTACTAACACATCTCTGTAACTTCTGAGATAGATGAATGCTCTGCAATCATTCAAATGAAACCAAATGTGTTTTTCATATTTGAGAGAACTGGACAATTCAATAAGTTACACATTGAAGGCTTTCTTTGTGATTACATGCACACAAAAGCAGATATCCCTTGTATGTATACTCTAATATTTACCAACTGCACTGATTTTAAACCTCAACAAATGCAAATATACATGCCTTGCTTGTGTCTGTGTGTTTGGTATTTGCCTAATACCTGCCCGTTCTGAAAAGTCACATTAGCATGTGCTATATTTCCATATTTGTCCGGGGCACTTCCTGCATGCTCCGGAGTCAAACATATATTCATAAGAACAGTATGATCAAGCCTCGAGGCACGCAAACTGTGTGTGTGTGTGTGTGTGTGTGTGTGTGTGTGTGTGTGTGTGTGTGTGTGTGTGTGTGTGTGTGTGTGTGTGTGTGTGTGTGTGTGTGTGTGTGTGTGTGTGTGTGTGTGTGTGTGTGTGTGTGTGTGTGTGTGTGTGTGTGTGTGTGTGTGTGCTTTTCCATATGCCAGTATTTGTTGTTCTGTGGTGGGCAAGACTATATCTGTTGTATGATTAGAAGGTGAAATGGACTTTATTTATATATCGCTTATTTCCGTAAAGGCAATCCTTTTAGGGTATAATTTAAAGAGTCCTCTCCTGCTGATGTTCAGGTGTATATCAGTAGTGTCTCTACTTTAAAGAGTCCTCTCCTGCTGATGTTCAGGTGTATATCAGTATGTAGTGTCTCTACTTTAAAGAGTCCTCTCCTGCTGATGTTCAGGTGTATATCAGTAGTGTCTCTACTTTAAAGAGTCCTCTCCTGCTGATGTCCAGGTGTATATCAGTATGTGGTGTCTCTACTTTAAAGAGTCCTCTCCTGCTGATGTTCAGGTGTATATCAGTATGTAGTATCTCTACTTTAAAGAGTCCTCTCTTGCTGATGTTCAGGTGTATATCAGTATGTAGTGTCTCTACTTTAAAGAGTCCTCTCCTGCTGATGTTCAGGTGTATATCAGTATGTAGTGTCTCTACTTTAAAGAGTCCTCTCCTGCTGATGTCCAGGTGTATATCAGTATGTAGTGTCTCTACTTTAAAGAGTCCTCTCCTGCTGATGTTCAGGTGTATATCAGTATGTAGTGTCTCTACTTTAAAGAGTCCTCTCCTGCTGATGTTCAGGTGTATATCAGTATGTAGTGTCTCTACTTTAAAGAGTCCTCTCCTGCTGATGTTCAGGTGTATATCAGTATGTAGTGTCTCTACTTTAAAGAGTCCTCTCCTGCTGGTGTTCAGGTGTATATCAGTATGTAGTGTCTCTACTTTAAAGAGTCCTCTCCTGCTGATGTTCAGGTGTATATCAGTATGTAGTGTCTCTACTTTAAAGAGTCCTCTCCTGCTGATGTTCAGGTGTGTATCAGTATGTAGTGTCTCTACTTTAAAGAGTCCTCTCCTGCTGATGTCCAGGTGTATATCAGTATGTAGTGTCTCTACTTTAAAGAGTCCTCTCCTGCTGATGTTCAAGTTCATATCATGTCTCTATTGTGACAGACACTACAGAAAAGGGAAAACTCACACAAGTTACAATAGGGCCTCTTTAAAGCGTCTAACAATGACTCATATCACAGATAGATGGAGGTTGTGTTTAGTCCTTTTGTTATTCTTGGCATGTGTTTTTGTTTGGGTCTTTATACAGAGGCGTGATTTATAGACATCATTCCACCTGAGCTGTTTTTTTGTTTAGTCTTGAAGAAAAAGGTGTAATAACAGAATACAGTTTCTCACTTTCTGTGATTAAATTGCCTGCTACATCCTGGATATCCCTATTGTTGGTCTGAATTCACGATACTCTGTATACAGGAGTCATCTATTATTCTGTCACACACACACACACACACACACACACACACACACACACACACACACACACACACACACACACACACACACACACACACACACACACACACACACACACACTCAGAAGCTAAAACTGGAGTTACATGCGCTTACAGCATCCACTCTGAATGCAGATATTCAGTGTGCGGGTCAATCTCCTGCAAACTCATAATCAGGCGCCTTATTTATCAAATACAGAAGGAAAATATGAGATTGTTCAGACCCTGATTATGAAACCTGTGCTTCAAATCAACACCTTGTGGGTTTACAATCAACAAAATCACTTTTACCTTTTACCAAATGTACCTGGAGAGAGAATGAAGAGGCCAATGATGTGTCGACATTGAAGAAATGGCACGTTTATTTCTGACTTGTATGAATACCTACAATTGCCAATTACATAATTACTGTCCTGCATTATAATCCATTATATTTTTAATTGTCACCTGGTGCCATCATCATTTTTAAGTTTTCTTTTACAAAAATAAAGACTTTTCCGCCATATATTCCTCCCAAAATATGTGATATTGGGTTTTATAAATACACTTTGATTGATTCCTTTGAACATTTACCTTTAACTAATGTTAAACTATGCAAACTAAGATAGACATTTAAAGGTGGGGTAGGTAAGTTTGAGAAACCGGCTCGAGATACACTTTTTGTTATATTCCATGGAATGCTCTTAACATCCCGATAGCAATGAATATCTGAAGTGCTTTGACAAAAAATCCATAAAGAAATGTCATCTGTGGAAGCCGTAGTACTGTAAAAAGCACGACCAATCATTTTAGCTGGCCCGGCTAAAATAACTGGATGGCCTACCTGCCTGTCAGCCTTCCATCTGTGCACAAACTTATCTCGTGCCCTCATTGGTCATGTGCGCGTTCGTGTGTTGGAGGAGGGGCTCTGTAAGGAAGTGGCAGATTTTTTCCGGTTGTGTATTTTCAAATTCTAGCGATCTCGAGCTGGTTTCTCCAAAATTACCTACCCTACCTTTAAGTACAAACAATGTGACGTTTTACTACTGAAGTGGATATTTTTCCACCTTTTAAATCCAGTAGTTTAATACGACTAATCATGCGCAGACCTTTCAGAAAAAGGCATTTCTCCTAAAAAGTCATTTGGAAAGACACATTACTATCGCAGCAATGTAAACAGTGAATTATTCATATGCAGTGGAGCTTTTAAATCCTCCGTCACTGCTGCCGTCACACAGCCACCGCTAACCTTCATTAGTGGACAGTGTGTGTGTGTGTGTGTGTGTGTGTGTGTGTGTGTGTGTGTGTGTGTGTGTGTGTGTGTGTGTGTGTGTGTGTGTGTGTGTGTGTGTGTGTGTGTGTGTGTGTGTGTGTGTGTGTGTGTGTGTGTGTGTGTGTGTGAGAGTCTGGGTTTCACTGTCCCTCTGTGCTCAGCTCTTCCTCTCGCTGTAACATATCAAAGGCTTTTTAAGTTGAACAGGCTCTCGGGGTAAACTATTCAAGGTTATTTTAGCTTTTTATTCTCTAATCTGTTTTTATGATCAGATGAGCGCCGAGCTTTCCCAAACGTACGCATGTGATGCTTGTTTGAAGTTTAGTCACGGTGTGTGAACACTAATATCCGTGTGTCGCTCTGTACCTGTTGTGTGAACGTGTCGGCAGAATAGTTTTCAGCGTGATTAGACGGCAGATTGTTCCATCGATTGTTCCATTGTTGATCAAAGCTAATGAATTACCGCGGATCCTCTGCTGATCTCTCACTGCTGTTAAATGCTGTTGTGTTAGGAAGTTAAATGCACACTTTAAGAAGAAGGGTAACCTTGAGTCTTCAATATTTATTAAAATACAGCAAACAACATCAGCACAAACAAAGATATTGTTGTTTAAATGTTTATTTCTAACATTTATTTGTATTCTTTGTTTGTTTTGTTGCAGGCTCAGAAATTGAAGTCAAACTCAACAGTCGACGGAGTTTTCTGTGTGGTAAGTTTGCCGCTCATTTTGTACCAAAATTCACCCTGCAAATATATAATTAAATATTCAAAAGGTAACAGTCTACCTTCCTTAGCAACGGTCTGTTATCCTTAGCAACGGTCTGTTATCCTCAGCAACGGTTTGTTATCCTTAGCAACGGTCTGTTATTCTTAGCAACGGTCTGTTATCCTTAGCAACGGTCTGTTATTCTTAGCAACGGTCTGTTATTCTTAGCAACGGTTTGTTATCCTTAGCAACGGTCTGCTATCCTTAGCAACGGTCTGTTATCCTCAGCAACGGTCTGTTATCCTCAGCAACGGTTTGTTATCCTTAGCAACGGTCTGTTATTCTTAGCAACGGTCTGTTATCCCAGCAAGAAATAACAGACCTCTGGAATGTCCAAATCGACCAATCAGAATTGAGTATTCAACTTAGCAGTGTAATAAATATTAATAGTATAGATATATTTCTTTAAAAGTGCCATGAAAGGGCCATGTTGAAGCCATTTTGCATAATTTACCTTTATTTATCAGAATGTTGTGTAAGTGTTATTTTATTATGCAGAGGATGTAATGGATTTTCCTGCTTTTATTTATTATTGTTTTGAGTGATGTTTACTATCGCCATGTTGTTGTGATGTCGCTTGTAGGCGTGGTTTTGGCCCTTTAATTTAGGACAGGTGAACAGGTGCTTACTTTGAGTGGAAGGGCAAACAATTATCAACCGTATAGAAATCGCATAGTGATCTCTGCTCGATAAAAGTTACCCGTATTAGATTTATGGCTTCGAATCCTTTGTTTATGAGTTTTTGTTGACTATTTCCTGAGTTCTATTGAATTGGATCATTAATGTGGATGCACGTTGATATTCTGACCGCTCATAACAAGCTATGTCTTTCATTTTTGGAGGAAATCACAACCTGTACAAAGCTGCCAAACTTGTCTTGTGTGATGAACTCTCAAAAGGATTCCTCTGATCTCCGGAAAAACAATTTGATATGAGACCAAAAGGCGATTTGTTGGAACAACTCAAATAATCTCAAAGTGAAATCCGACCCCTCAGCTGGAAGCCTTCGACTGATCCTTCCCGCCTCCTCTGTAAACTCCTGGTCTTTGTAGTTCCTTTGAGGCTGAAATGGGATTGTTGCTTATCTGGTGGCTTTTAAAGTTCACTTTAAATGTCATTGTACAATAATAAGGCGGTGTTATGCACTGAACTGACATTTAATAGAGGCAGGGACAGGTCTGGAGGAGATGACCCAGACGTTAGCTCGCAGCTTTATTAGCAAGCCAAAGAGCGCTGGTGAAGCTATATATACATCACACACATACACACACGCACACACACACACACACACACATACACACACGCACACACACACACATTTTAGACACAGAAACAACTTTTGATTGGTAAACCGTGTCAAATACCTTTCTCTCTGCATGTACACATTATTTCCTAAATCGTGACAATAGTACCTGAAGCTTAAGACGTTTGGAAGGATTTATTGTTATTGTTTTAACATTTTTGGTCAACATTTATCAAACTGTAATGAAAATATCTCAGAGTCTACAGTGGAGAATATCGTTCTGGACACGTTCATAGCAGCAAATCCAGTTTCTCTAAAGAAATACGTTTTCCAAGACAATGTGAAGTTCATACTGACCAGATTCTTTAACATAAACTATGCTAAGCTAATATACTAATATAAAAAAAGCTTCTCCTAGCATCTTCACAGTGAATTCGGCTCTTTTAGCACCGAGAAAGACAACACCTTTAGATGTTTGGGACATCTGTGAATATTGTTTAAAAAAAAAAAAAGCAGAAGCCTAGGAGTTTCACGTTCAAGCCACTTCAGTATTGACTTTGCTAATCTCCTTTTGTAATACAATGTATGACAAATGCCTTGTTCTGATAATAACAGAAGAGAAAGAATGTCACATTGCATATTTTCGGAAACAGTACTAATGTGATTGTCTCCTGTCCCTCTGTTTCTCTTCCTCAGGACCCTCAGATTGATAATCCCAGCACATCCAACGCCATCCTGAGGAATTCTGCAGTCTCCAGACGGGACGCTGCCTCTCTGCTGCCCCCCCTGGTGACTCTGTGGTACTGCAGCCTGCGGGCGATATCCTCACATCACGTCTTGTAGCCTCGACGCTTCACAGCAAACACAACGGACTGACAAACACACATTTGTATAAAAGAAAAAGCAACATTATATCCTTTCTTCTCAGTAAAAAACCTGTTGTAATATGATTTCCCCTCTGGATTCTATCTCTCATTTGATTCCTATGTTTTTTTAAATGAATTTTGTTGTTTTTTTTGCATTGCAGCTGTGTGCTAAAGCGGTGATCTGTATTCGTTCAGTTTGGCTGTGTTAGGTTAGTTGAAAATAAAAGGGATTTAAGGCTTACGCTTAATACTCGAGGACTACATTCCAATAAACCACAGCTGGTAACTTTGGAAAGGAACACACATGTCATTTAGCGTTGATTTTCAGAGTCAGTTTTCACCCTCGTCTGTTTGTGTGTTGAGGCTATAGGTGGGATCTTTCGCTCAAAAGTCACAGTCAGTTCAGTAACGGCTATATTTGATCACTTGGGCAGCTTTTAGGTGTTATTCAGTCTCCTCTGTGGTTTGTGTTTGTTTTGATAATGACGTGATCTGGTGTTTTACATTTTTACGAACGATTCCACGTGGATATTTACCGGAGAAAAACTACATTTTAAGGTGAACACCGATAACTATCTGCGCCCAAACCGTGTTTACGGTAGCTCATACTGAACACACATTGCCGATGGCTAAAAGCACACAAGGCAAAGACCCACGAACACACACTGCACATGTTCACACACTCAGACAAAATCACACGGAAACACACACACAGCACTAGGCTTTCTACTCAAGTTTTGTTTTACACCAGTTTCTTTGCCAACATAGTGATTCTCAGAGGTCAGAACGCTGCTGTGGATATCTGAATCCACTCATTAGTGATTGTACATAACTTGTAATTGTTAGAAGTCCAAGCCATGTTCAGTGTTGCTCTATTGAAGGTGCCAGAGAACCTGCTGCAGTTTCACCGAAATGAGTTTTTCTTTTTATGTTGATGTACTTTGCTGCACTGCGTCCACGAAAACAAGAGCTGAGGGAAAAAAATAGGCTTATTGTTGTCGAGTATATTCAACGGTGACTCACACCTCCATCCCACTCAACGCTTACTTTACTGTCAGTTCAGTGTTACGACTTATTGACTCACTTGTGAAACTGTCATCACGTGTGTTGGGGAGGAAGCAATCACATGATATTGAACATTTGCTAAACCCCAACCTTACTTACTTTACTGTCATTGCAACTGCTGGCTTTTGTATTCCAGTTACATGTATGCCTATAAAAATAAACTATGGCAGAATTGGTAGTACATTCAGGAAAAAGCAAACTTCCTTCTCCAGGATGACTGGTTTTAAAATATGAACTCTGAATAAAGGTTTATTGTACGCATAACTTGTAACGCCACCATAAAATGTAGTTAGCTATGATCTGCTCCTTGGCTTTGGTTGTACTGTAGCTAGAATGCTAATTGTTCGGCAAGGTGTGCTAGCACTAGCCATCAGTAGCTAGCAGCTACAAAGTTATTCCTTGGACTTTTGCTTCTATTTTTGTTATTCTGGAAGAGTATGCATAACTTGTGACGCCACCATAAAATGTAGTTAGCTATGATCTAATCCTTGGCTTTGGAAGTAACACTAGCCTATGGTACTGTAGCTAGAATGCAAATATTTGTAGCTAGGTGTGCTAACACTAGCTAGCAGTAGGTAGCAACTACCTACTCATTCCTTGGACTTTGGCCTCATTTTTTGTTATTCTGGAAGAGTTTAAAAGTACCTTTAAAGCTCTAAGATAGACATTCTGGCTCATTTTAGTCTTTTTGAACTACAAAGCTGTAAGTAATTGGTACATTTCGTTCATAAAATAAATGTCTGGTAGAGAGGTTCAGCAAACGGTCAATTCTGTGTTATAAAAGAAACTGCAGCAAACAAGTGACTCATGTACTGTGTGTAAATCGTTAAAGCATTTTCTACATTTGTTCCTGCTTACTGCTGGGAAAATGAAAAAGACACAGCGTCGCAATCACGTCTAATTCTCACATGTCGACTTATTCATGTTTGTATTGGATGCATCTGTTTTTTTAATTCTCCCCCCAACACGTGATCAACTCGTTTACATACATCACTGTGGCATGTTGCAGGTTAATTTAACCATTGGGACACTGACAGCAACATTTACAACACGCTGCTTGGGTTTATGTAGCTTCCTCAAAACATCATTGATGTATAGTATAACTTAATGTGATTTACCGAGCATAAACATGGTATATGCACTGTATGGCTGAAACTATAAATTGGACAAGTAAATGTCTGATGATATTCTACTCCAGAGCATTGTGAGCTATTTTGAAATCCAGATAGAGTACATTGAAAAAACCCGAAACTTGTTTTTTAACAACTTATGTGTATATTTCTCCCAGTATGTACTATGGAATATTATTGCATCTGAGAAAGAGGATATCAATGTAACTCTCCTTATGTAGTTATAAACAACTGTATTTCCTAAACGTATTTCTTTTGTACCATAGCCCCATTTATGATGTTGCTTAAAAATAGAAGTAGTTTTTTCTTGTTTTGGCTAAGATTTAAACTTATTTTTATATCTTTTACTTATTTTTTGCTGTTTTTTCGATGAGATGAAGTGGAGTGAGGCGGACCGGGCACAGATGGTTTATATTTAAAACTTTTATAAAACTGTTTATTGCTGTTAACCCTGATTATTTTGGTTTTACTGCTAAAATAACTATGTTGACAATAACAAGAAGTTGAGTTGTCATTGCATGGTGATTGAGAAGGAAATAAATCAATGTTTAAAGACAAATATATTCTATACCATACCATTGAAGGCTTTTTTATGGTATATTTGACCAGAGGTGGGCGACTGAAGATTGAATGTGTGGAAGGAAAGTTATAGAGAAATGTTATGAGTTGCTTCACGACAAAAATTACATTTCTCAGAACTGTGTCTTACAGTATGCTCATTATTTTGTATTTGAATCCCAGTGTCATATCTTCATTGGCCCTAGAAAATGAAGGTATTGTTTATATATGTGGCTCAGAAGGCACATCCTCCTGATGTAAGGGTGCCACTTTTGGACAAAAATGTTAAGGTGTTAAATATGTTTGCTGTCCATCTCAATCCCAATCTGTTGTTTCAAAATACCAACAAAATAAAATGGTGTTTTGGAGATGCGGACTCCCTCAGCTACCTGGCATCATTAACTTCTTAGCTTGTGAAAATGTAAAATCTATTGTACAAAAGTTACGATTAAAAACTGTTAAATCACCCGGACTGTTTTTTCATGCTTATTTCACTGAATCAGGAAAATAAACACACATAAGGGATATCAATCATTAAAGAGGACATAGGTTTCATATTAGTGTTTAGTAGCTCGACTGTGACATGTTTCCACGTACGTTATTTTGTCAATAAATTCCTATCTGTAGAAGAAAAAGGCAATTTTGGAGTCCCACAAGGTACTAGTGTGGGTCCCCTGTTGTTTTTCTAGTTTTCTACACAGTCAAGACACAACTAAAAACTTAACTACAATATTTTAACAGAAATATGCATCAAATGGTAGAACTTCAATCACAAAACAAACCTATGACATGAATGCATATCAGTATGTAGTGTCTCTACTTTAAAGAGTCCTCTCCTGCTGATGTTCAGGTGTATATCAGTATGTAGTGTCTCTACTTTAAAGAGTCCTCTCCTGCTGATGTTCAGGTGTATATCAGTATGTAGTGTCTCTACTTTAAAGAGTCCTCTCCTGCTGATGTTCAGGTGTATATCAGTATGTAGTGTCTCTACTTTAAAGAGTCCTCTCCTGCTGATGTTCAGGTGTATGTCAGTATGTAGTGTCTCTACTTTAAAGAGTCCTCTCCTGCTGATGTTCAGGTGTATATCAGTATGTAGTGTCTCTACTTTAAAGAGTCCTCTCCTGCTGATGTTCAGGTGTATATCAGTATGTAGTGTCTCTACTTTAAAGAGTCCTCTCCTGCTGATGTGCAGGTGTATACTGTATCAGTATGTAGTGTCTCTACTTTAAAGAGTCCTCTCCTGCTGATGTTCAGGTGTATATCAGTATGTAGTGTCTCTACTTTAAAGAGTCCTCTCCTGCTGATGTTCAGGTGTATATCAGTATGTAGTGTCTCTACTTTAAAGAGTCCTCTCCTGCTCATGTTCAGGTGCATATCAGTATGTAGTGTCTCTACTTTAAAGAGTCCTCTCCTGCTGATGTTCAGGTGTATATCAGTATGTAGTGTCTCTACTTTAAAGAGTCCTCTCCTGCTGATGTTCAGGTGTATATCAGTATGTAGTGTCTCTACTTTAAAGAGTCCTCTCCTGCTGATGTTCAGGTGTATATCAGTATGTGGTGTCTCTACTTTAAAGAGTCCTCTCCTGCTGATGTTCAGGTGTATATCAGTATGTGGTGTCTCTACTTTAAAGAGTCCTCTCCTGCTGATGTTCAGGTGGATATCAGTATGTAGTGTCTCTACTCTCTTAGAGATGTCCCGCCCCTTAGCCTATCACGTACAATGTGTTGGAGCTCCAGCCAATAGAAGTGCGAGTGTTAGATAGTGATGTCACTGTGTTCTGAAACGTTGGGATTTTAGGCTTTTCACACCATTTCCATGCACTAAAACCTATATAACACACTACAGGTAAGGGAAAACCCACAGAAAGTACAGCATGGCCTCTTTGAAGACAGTTCGAAGTGATCCTGATAACACCTCGCAGGTTAATCTCCTTGACCTCGGGATCAAAGACAAAGGAAACAAGAGGAGCGAAGAGATGAGAGCGGATAAAGAAAGAGTCATCTGAGGTTTCTGACAACTTTATTTGGTAGAAAGCATAAGGGGCACCAGGTCAGCTGAGCTCTCTGTGGGTCTTTATTGTTCAGTGTTGCATGAGGAGAAGAAAAGGGAAAGAGGACAGAAGTACAGACTCCCTGCATCAAGGTGGATGGATCGCTATAACTTAAACTAATTATAACTTCAAATAGTTAATGAAACGTGACACACTGGGCTTGAAAACCTCCTTTAAAACAGAGCATTACTTGATTTGAAGAAGTAATCACTGCCATGTGCAGTGGCGACTGGTCATTAGGGGCAGGTGGGGCACAGCCCCACCTAGTGTCAGCAGAAAGTATTACAAATAATGATTACAAAAATGCAAAAAAATAAATAAAAAAATATATAAAATATATTTTAAGATCATGTTTAATCATCTGATTCGTCTGTACATTGCTGTTTTAGTCTGTGTTCTTCTAATTAGTGTGTCTACAGTCACAGTGTGTGCCTATTGAGCTGTTTAGAGCCATGTGGGACAAAACCTGATTATGCCCCTTCCTCTCGCTGTGAAGTCAACGGTGACTGTAAAAACTTCACTGCGCATGCTCAGAGTATTTTGTAATGTAAGGTGTGGCAAAAAAATAATGACCAGAGGGGCACGGAGCTACCATCCCCACCATACGTCATCTCAAATCATTCAGAGCTGATTGGCTGTAAGTACGTGTGCCGCGAAAAGTGTGCTGTGTGAAGAAGAGACGAGAGAGCTGCAGTGACGCGTCCTAAAACCAGGAAGTAAGCACAAAAAAGCAATGAGATTTCTCCAGAGGATTTTAGAAAATAGCTCGAAATAAGATCTGTGGGAAACGTACCTGTTAGATAAATGCACGTTTTGATTAGCCGGATAACATCCACATGTCTACCCTACTTTTATAATTTTTTTATCATAAATCTATGGATTAGATTTATGATAGACTTTTGAAACTACAAGAACATAAGGAGGACTTTTACAAAAAAGTAATAGAAATGTTTGTCCAGAAGGATAGGAAAATGGACTTCATCTTCAAGTCAAGGTAAGACCGCCATTTTATTGAAAATGGGATCTTACTAAGAGAGAACAATTCAATATTTAAATGATAAAATGACATTTTTTGGGTATCCTTTTGTTGAACTGTCTGTTTAAAATTAATCGAAGCATCAGACAAAAAAAAGCTTTTGAAAATAATATTATATTTTGGTTTAGGTCAAAATATAATATTTGTAAACCTGAAGAGTCAGTGCCAGTGCCTCACCAGCCATGAACCTCACTGCACGTCACTGCAGAAGCTTATATATAGACATCTACGTTTTTTGTGCCCCACCACTTTTGTACATATAAAAACGCCACTGGCCATGTGTTCCAGAATTGTTACTAGCCCCCAAAAAGTCTTTATATAAAACAATTGTGCAAACTCTTTTTAAGGTTTGAATCAATTCTCTCTCAATTTGCACTTTTAAAAACATGGAAAAACAATCACCTGATAGAAACTATTAAGCTTGTTTAATTCACAGTGCACAATCTTGCAAATCTAATGTATAACACTACATTTAAGAAGTCATTACAGCTTCAACGCCAAGGCTAATTTAATTAAATGAATTGGAAAAAGTCAATTAAAATGTGTCGTTATGCAAACTCTTAAAGGTTGAAATCAATTCCTATCTAAATTGCCCTTTTATAACTAACAATGGTCGTGAAACACTCTGAGAAAGGAGAACAGATTACAAAGAGCACTAACTACGGTAATACTCATCCACATTTATATCTGTTTGTTGAATTGGTAAAACCCATATTTAACATTTTTAAGTACAGTTCTGCAGGAAATTTGTTGGGGAATAATTTCCCCTGCATGTCCTCCTTCGCCCTCTGACGCAGATGCCCAGCCTTGAGCAGCCGTTATCGCCCTTAAGGAGGGGCTGCCCTAGCATTTTGTTGTTGTTACCAGTTTGTGACTGGGCAACTGTCGGTCAGAGATAGTTATTGTTGTGGGACATCAGAGGCCTGTACTACGAAGCCGGATTTTCGCTTAGCCGGCTGACTTCAGGGAAAACTCGGGCTTTCCGGTCCTACGATGCTGGTTCTCTTTTTAGCGGGCTAGATCTCCATGGTAACTTATGCTGAGCGGCAAACCTGCTCCGGAGCAGGTTAGGTTGCAGGCTAAGAGATCAACTCAGTGAAAGCACCGCCTGCTGACCAATCAGAGCTCCGTGTGCGGAGTTTAAAGCTATCAAGTCATATTACAGGATAGAGGAAATACAGAAAAACTGCCGTTGCAGGAAAGACGGCCGGCAAAAATCAACTGACTGTGTGAACGTGAAAATGAATAGAATATCCCCTCCCATCTTCAGAGCAATCTGACTATTATAACATTAGCGTTAAGAAAGCTTACTTAAATGTCTGCCACGACATAAGTAACCGGATCAGAGTAACATTACGTACAGTCCGCGGCACTGTGAGTGCAGACGTCGATGTGTCCCATTATCATTCATATCATATCACATCATAATGTATCATATATTTCCTTATTTGAGTCAGCTGAGCCGTATCTGGCCGTGCAACACTCACAGTGTCACATACTGTATGCAGAAGTATTATTTTAAGCAACACATTAAGTTGACGAAACACTCGAGTCAAATGTAATTAATTTGAGTTAATGTACGCATTCAAATGCTTTTTCTTTTACCAGCTGTATTCACCTTGCAGGTGCAGCTATGTGGCTTTGATCCTGGATAAAGTGTTTAAGTCATGGATGTTTAAAGTTTAACTTCTTCATATTTGACTAATATTAAAGTTCACTTTTCATTCAGGAAGTATGACGCTGCGCTGTCAGTACGCTTGTCCGTGTTTGAGATTGGTCGAATGCTCCAAATACCACCCCTTTCATGTGAACCCGCACCTAACTAGATAGAACACGGCTGGCTTGAGCGATCCACTTGATAACCGGCGTCGTAGTACAGTTTAGCGCCAGCGCGTATGTTTTGGATTGGGCCAACCGGCTAACTCAAACATATCCAGGTTAGGTTGAACCAGCTTCGTAGTACAGGCCTCTGGAACACATCCTTCTCTGGGTGTAGATGACCTCGAGCCATAAGCGACAACAAATGTGATTCAGTGTCCTCAGCTGTTTAGTCTATCTATTGAAGAATGTTGATTATTACACTCTGAACTAGTTCAAACCTGGAGCTACAGGAGGGGTCTTCAGAATTGATTGTGGCATCTCAACCGTGTGGTCAGATCGTGGCCCCGTGACATGTCTTGTGAATTCTCCGGCCGATACTCCAAATAAACCGTCAAGTGTTTGCCATCAAAGCTCCAGCTCTCCATCGTGTCTCTCTTTGAGTCCTGACTCCAATCGCTTCAGAAGTTTCCCCCACAAATACATACAGTATATACTTAAACACAACATTATCCCTTTCCCAGCCTAATACGTTTTTCTAAGGCATAATACATCTTAGATCT